CACTCTGCATCCTACCTGGCCTCTCAGCCCTGCTGACCAGCAGCCCTTCCTCGGCGGGTGCACTGGCTCCGAGCAGACCACTTCTGTCCAACTCCATCATGAAAAGTCCGTCTTCTAGGCTCCCACAGTCTTCACAGCTAAGGTTCAATACAAGTTGATCCTACGCTAAAGCACGCAGCTCAATCTTTATTGCAAAACTCAAGTTTATTTTATTACAAATGCAACTCATACACACTGGGAAAAATTTAGTGCACACACACACACACACACACAAAAGAAAAAGCACAGACAACCTCACAGAAGCCGCCCCCTTTTGGGTCTGGTGCTCTTTCTCCAGGTGAGCCTCCCATGCACTTTCTTGTCAGTTCGACAGATGTGGGGCTCATTCTTCCCACCTCATGCTGTAACCATGGCATCCTCAGTTGTGAAAATATCTACATATTTATGTCACTTACAATAACCATAGGACATTCTGCCATTTAATGTGGGCCTTAGAACTAAATCATCGTGTTCTGAGTAATTGTAGATTACGTTAAAGGTCTTTTGAGTGCAACTGAATCCCGTCTTCTTGAGGGAGCTGAGCTGGAGGAGACGCATCAGGTTGCCCCTCTTGGGTCTGTGCGGCGAGTGATTGATGGGCCACTGTCTGGGCCTCCTTCACACTTCTAGGGACAGCTCTGGGGCAACATGGCGCCCTCTGGGAACCCGCCTTCTCCTTCTTCCAGACCTGGCTGTCTATTCCAGGTCACGGGGGTTTCTGGCTGGTGGGCTCCCTGAGAGATCTGGTAAGGACTGGGTGGCTAAGGGACTCTGGAAGGATCAGGTGGGTCACAGTGTTCCCCTGCAGATTGGAGTCACAGGGAAGCGTTAAAAACTTTCCTAATGCCTGGGCTCCACTTCTGAGAAATTCCACCTGAATTCCTGGGTGGGAATCGTGTGGTAGAGTGTGGACCTGTCTTGAAGGTAGGTGGTCCCCATGGGTGTGTGCCAGCCTGAGGGCCACCTGGGGCAATGGAGACCGAGACTTCAGGAGCTGGAGTGAGACTCGAACATCACCCTGGGAGTGTGAGTGTGTGCAGGTGTGAGAGTGAGTGTGTGCAGGTGTGAGAGTGTATGCAGGTGTGAGAGTGTATACAGGTGTGAGTGTGTGTGAGTGTGTACAGGTGTGAGCGTGTGCAGGTGTGAGAGTGAGTGTGTGCAGGTGTGAGAGTGTGTACAGGTGTGAGTATGTGTGAGTGTGCAGGTGTGAGAGTGTGTGCAGGTGTGAGAGTGTGTGCAGGTGTGAGAGTGTGTGTGCAGGTGTGAGAGTGTGTACAGGTGTGAGTGTGTGCAGGTGTGAGAGTGTGTGCAGGTGTGAGAGTGTACAGGTGTGAGTGTGTGCAGGTGTGAGAGTGTATGTGAGTGTATGCAGGTGTGAGAGTGAGTGTGTGCAGGTGTGAGAGTGTATGCAGGTGTGAGTGTGTGTGAGTGTGTACAGGTGTGAGTGTGTGCAGGTGTGAGAGTGAGTGTGTGCAGGTGTGAGAGTGTGTACAGGTGTGTGTGTGAGTGTGCGGGTGTGAGAGTGTGTGCAGGTGTGAGTGTGTGTGTGTGCAGGTGTGAGAGTGTGTACAGGTGTGAGTGTGTGTGAGTGTGTGTGAGTGTGTGCAGGTGTGAGTGTGTGAGTGTGTGCAGGTGTGAGAGTGTACAGGTGTGAGTGTGTGCAGGTGTGAGAGTGTATGTGAGTGTATGCAGGTGTGAGAGTGAATGTGTGCAGGTGTGAGAGTGTGTGCAGGTGTGAGCATGAATCCTCCGTTCAGCACAGCAGATTAGTTGCACTGAGTTGTGGCACCTTGCTGCTTTGGGAGGCAGCCGGTGGCACAGAACAAAGGCCAGGTGTGAGCTGTGACTGCTCTTTGTAGCTACCCAGAGCCCCAGGGCCACAAGCCTGGCCAAGCCATCTCAGGCTGCACCCAGCTTCTTGGAGAAGTGATCCCACAAGGGCTTTGAACGCAGTCTGGAGGGGCAAGCTCTTCCCCCACCTCTGTACCTGGGCCATGGATCTGGGGCAGGGAGGGCCGAGTACTCTTGGTCCAGCATGGCCTGGTCAGGATTTCATCTAGGCCTCTTGAGTTGTGCATATGAACTTGAACCTGTGCATGTGAGTTCCCTCCTGGAGGAGGTATGACCCCACCGCCCTCCCAGAGCTGTGGGCACCTGGGAACAAAACACGCTTCGTCATAATTTGCTGTTTGTAATCGCATCTTTTCCCTATTGACTGAAGTGGACTTCGTGGTTTTCTCATTTAGTTTGTTACTACAATAATAGATTTTTTCCTGACATTAAAAACTCCTGACTCTCCTGGAATGACTACTTGTTAAGGTTTTAAATACACCATTGGGTTTCACTCACTGATATTTTATTTAGAATATGTTTATCTGCTGCCTTTAACTTTCCTTCCTCACAATTTCTGTTTTGGGATCCAGGTTTCCCCAGCCTTACACAGGAGCAGAGCTGCCCTCTGAGGGACTCCGAGGGGAGGCAGGAAGTCCCCACAGGGAGACACACGGGCAGGGCTTGGGGCAGAAGGGAGGGGATGGGAGGGTGGTGAGGTCCTGGGTCGGGGGTTTCTGGACCCAGAGCCAGGGGGCTGAGGGAGGAGCGTGGGGGACTCGGTCATGATGCCCCAGTTGAGGTCAGGTGTTTGGGGCCTGAGGGACAGCTGTGGGCCACTCTGTGGGTCTAAAGCTCTTTACTGAGGTCTCGGCCATGGACTTGGACAGCCTGGACGCAGGTGAGGAGAGGACGGGGACAGAGGGAGAGGATCTGTGAAGGACCCAGAGGAGGAATGCAGGAGGCAAGGGAGGAGCCCTGGGGGCAGGACTGTGGGGCCAGAGGGCAAGGCGGCCTTGCAGAGGACAGACCCTCCAGAGCCCCTGCAGCGCCTTCCTTGGCTGGTTTGGGTGACTCTCCCACCACCTTTAAGGTTTCATTGCACCTCCGTTAGGGGTGGGCGAGCTTCCTGTGCAATGGACCAGGGGGATGTTGTACCAGTACTGTGGCCTCTGGTCTCAGGGGCAGTGTACAAGGGAGTGGCGTGGCAGGACTGAGAGCTGGATATGGCCCCTGGGCGCATCTCTTGCTGGCAAGTTCTTTGTAACAGGTGTGTGTACTACCTGGCAGGACCTCATGCCCCACGGAGGGCCCATACTCCTGCTTCCGAAACCCCTTTTGTGAAATGGGAGAAGAGCAGAACTAAATGTGGGGTCATCAGAACACCCAAGGAGGCCAACACGGCCTGCTGCCCCTGCTGGGCCCAGCAGAGTCCCTTCATCTGGCATCAGCCACCTCTAGGTTGGCCACACCAAGGACGAAGCTGGCCCTGTGCATTCTCTAGGGTGTCTGGAACAGGGGGCTGTGGCTGCAGGGCTGGGGCACTCTCAGAGAGCTGGGACCGAAGAGCCGGGGGCACCTGCTGCAAGTCTGAGGAGTGGCTGCCAGTCAAGAGGGAAAGAGAGGGCCACAGCGAGGGTGGAGGGCATGTGAGGGCATGGCCAGGCCCCTGAGCTTCCAGAGGCTGGAGGAAGCTCTGTGCCTCCACCCACTATTTCACCTGGGTTCCTTGCAATGCAAAGCCCCAGGTTGGAGGGGCCCCGTTCTTCAGGTTCTCCTCCCAGCGCGGTGCTCAGCCTTGAGATCTTTGAGCTTTCGCCCTCCTTGTGGTACAGGTGTGGCAATAATGGTGCCCTGCAGAGGTCACCCCCTCCAGTTGGTGTTCACGTGGGACCTCAGGATACGACCTTATGTGGAAATAGGGTCTTTGCAAATGCAACTCGTTAAGGAAGGCATACTGGATTAAGGTGGGCCCTACACCCCAGGACTGGTGGCCTTATAAGAAGGGGGTGGACAGACAGACACAGGAAAAGGGGGCGTGAGGGTGGAGGTGAGGCTGAGGGCTGCGGCCCAGCTGGGACCCCCAGAAGTCGGAAGAAGCCAGAACCGATTATGCTGAGAACTTGGGGGGGAGCCAACCCCGCCCACACTGTGGCGGGACTTCCGGCCTCCTGACCTAGAGAACAACTGATCATACTCTGCCCAGCATGAGGTGCTCTGTCATGGTGGCCACAGCAAGTGGACGTGGGCTCCATGAGCATGTTTCTGAGTGGACCGAGCACCCTTGTTTCTGGAGGAAACCGGTGTTCATGGCTTTGGCTCATGTGTGTCCTAAACATGGGGTTCTTCTGGGCCCCTAGAAGGGTGCTGTACCACCTGATGGGGACAAAGAAACTGGGCACCTGACCCTGGCCAGCTGTAGTGGTGGAATGGCCAGGTGCAAGGGACACTGTTAGCACAGGCCATTTCTGATGTAGATGTTGCTGAAATCTGAGTTCTTGAGAAAACTGACAAGGCTCACGTTGTGAGTAGGAAGCTGGGTTTGAAGGGTGAGTTGTCTAGAAAGGGAAGTCCCCCAAAGCCCCGGGGTGATGCCTGAGGGCAGCAACTTCAGGACAGCATCCTGTGGCGAGCAGTCTAATGGCTTCTGTCTGTGGACCACAGGGAACTGCAGACGGGCCTGTGGGTGGGGGACACCGCGACATTCAGTGGGTGGCATTCGGTCCCTTATCCTGACGCCTGTTTCCAGGCACCCGTGCAGACACGTGCCCTCTGCCCTTGCTCCCATGCACTCAGGAACACACGTCTGGCCGTGGCCCTCACTGGATGGCCTGTCCCCTGCTCCGTTCATGAAAGCAGTACCATAAGCCAAGAGGGAAACGGACAGGGTTGCGTGGAAAAGGGCTTCTGGGTGTTTTTCCAGGTTGACGGCCTTGTCCTGGAGGACAGTCACATCCTCTCTGCTGTGAATCACAGGTCAGAAGCCGCCTTGACCCATGTTTCTTCTCATTTCTCTCTGCGGGTGGGACTGTGTACAGCGGGAAGCCCAGAGCCCGTGGAGGACACAGCGGCTGTGTGGAGGCCCAATGGGCTTGCCTTGCTGCTCTGTCCTGGGCCCAGGGACCTTCCTGTCAGGGCTGGTGGGCCATCACAGGTTTCTGAAGAGCACAAACACACATGCACACGTGAGTGTGTACGCAGACTCCCAGGCACTAGTATGCACACAGCAGCACGCAGGCACACGCACAGGTAAGTGACAGGTCCGCAGGCATGTGCAGAGAAACATGACTACAGTGCACAGACTCGGACGTTCAGGGATGTGCACGGGCACATTCCTGGGCGTGCCTGCAGGTGCCCACACTGGGTATGCACACACACACTCATGCTACACATGAGCATGCTCACACAGTGAGGGTCATAACCGTCCTGCCTCATCAGGCTGCCCTTGGCCAGCTTGGCACGTCTCTGCTGTTTGTGGTTTCTGCCTGTGTCCCCCTTCTGCCATCACTTTGGGAAAGGGATTTGAAATATGCCCTGAAAGTTACCACACTTGGTGGCATTTTATGCAGAAGTCTGCAGAACTCAAGCTAAAGGCCTGAGCAGAGTTCTCTGGAGGAGCAGAGCGAAGCCCGGGCTGCGGCATGCCACGCCTGAGCCCCTCGGGGACACACTGGTCAGGAATGGAGCAGGCGCAGGAGCTACAATGGTGGCATTCAGCTAAATGCCCACTGGGCAGGCTCTGAGTCCAGGCCACGTGCTGGCCTCAGGGCAGCTCTGACTGGCACACTGAGACCAGCCATGGAGCACAGCACCTGCCATGGGCCGCTGTGGGAAGGGACGGGGCTGCAGGCAGAGGACTTCTCAGGCAGGACACCTCCCCCAACAGACACGGGCAGGTTCAGCCTCATTTTCAAGAACTGCTCTGAGAATTCCCAGGCAACTTTTTGAAAGAAGAGCAACGGGGAGGCTCCGTCTTCCCTGGATGGCTCCTTCCTCCTCCCCCTTCCTTCTCCCCTTCCTTCCTAGGGTGCTGGGGACTGAACCCAGGGCCTCAAGCATCACTAGGCAAGGGCTCTGCCTTTGAGCTGCTTCCCCAGTCCCCTTGGGCACTTCTGGAAAGACCGGGGTCAGGTGACCCTCTCTCAAGCCCTTGTACCTGGTGTCAAGTTGAAGTGGCTGTTGGGGGGTGAGTGGTGGCCAGCAGGCTGAGCTGGTGAGACGTGGGTGGGGAGCTGAGGGCAGCCGGGGTGCCGTGGCCCGGACCTGATGTGTCCCCAGGTTTACACACTGGAGCATGGTCCCATGGGGCAGTGGTGAGGTGGTGCACCTTTAGGAGGTGGGGCCTGGTGGGAGCTCCTTAGGTCATTAAGGGGGTTCCTGGGGCCCTGCTCAGTTCTCATGAGAGCAACTGGTTCTAAAGGCCTGAGCCTGACTCTCGAGAGTTCCTTGGTGTCACCTGGTGAGCCCTCTTCCTGACACGTGCACATCTGGGGTTCAGGAGAAGCCCAGGAAGCGAACACCCCATAAGTCTGGGAATAGCCTTCGACCCCAACACCTCACACCTGATTCAGCTGAGGAGACCTGTGGCACTGGGTGGGCCCAAGGGTCCCCCAGGAGGGTCCCCACCACCTCATAGCGGGCCTTCGTGGAGCAGAGCCCGCCCCTTTCTCTCCCTCTTTCTTTCTCCCTCTCCCTCTCCCAGGGACACAGTGGTCACTCCGTGACACTGCCTGTTTGAGCCTTTCTTCCTCGTCAGGACCCCGTATCTTTAGGAAATGTCTCCAATTTCCTTTTGCAGATATTACCTTTTGTTCTGGTTCTCTTCTTTTAATACTGGGGATTGAACCCAGGGGTGCTCTGGCCGCAGAGCTGCACCCCCAGTCCTTTTTATTTTTTTGAGACAGGGTCTTGCTAAGTTGCTGAAGCTGACCTTGAACTTGTGATCCTCCTGCCTCAGCCTCCTGAGTGGCTGGGATTACAGGTGTGCGCCCTGCCCTCTGTTTTGAATTTTATCAGTTCATTCCAATTTCCCTCTCTCTGAAGACTTCATACCAACGTGTAAATCTGACAAGACTTTTAAATCTCCTCAGAAAGTGGGAGAAGAACTTACCGCGAAGAGGTGGTTGGCGGTGCCTTTCCTCCCGTTGGGGTTTCTCTGTGTCAGAGAGCCGCGGTACGTGGATTTCCGATCAAAAGACTCATCGTCCTTGCCTTTGGGGAAAACAGAAAAGGGGAAGCATTTTGTGAACCACAAACCCACCCTGAACAAGGGCTCTGCCACCTGAGAAAATTTAAAAGTACCCAAAGTGGACACAGCTCCTTCTGGGAAGTTCCACAGCGTGAAATATTTTTAATGAAACGTTTTGGCAGTTGTGCAAATCAACAGTCGAGATGTTCCTTCTCTGCTCTGGAGCCAGCACTGACCCCAACCTGGCTGTGGCCCCAGGAGTGCTTGTATGGACAAAACCCAGCGCTGGGTCCTGGGTCCTCCTTTCCCTTTTTATCTGTGACATGCAGCAGGCCTGTGAGGTCCTGGGACTCTGACCTCAGGGCAGGGGTCTCTGCTCAGGGCCACAGCGTAGAGCTGAGCCCTGGCCTCAATCCCAGCCAGCATTTGCTTTGTGGTGGGGGGCAGAGCCAGCCTCGTGAACTCCTGCATGTCAGGGGGGCATCTGCTGACCCGAGCAGGTGTCCACGAGGAGCAGAGCAGGCCAGGACACAGGGCTCCCTGGAGCCAACTGCGGGCATCTCTTCTGCACGCCGTGTTCAGGGACATGCCCACATCAGGCCCTTTCTGTCTTCTGCCTAAAGTTGGTGTCCCAGCACGGCTGGTGCTCTGGAACCCACGAGGCCCTACGAGAGGCCTTAACAGATCACGGTTGTCCCTTCACAAAGCCAGTCACAGAGAGACTCCAGGGGAGTCCCTGTTCTCTTGCAGCAAGCATGAGCCTCCATTTGGATGTCCGTCCATGGGACAGGCTGGACACTCACCTCGAAGGTCAGCCTGCAGTACTCCAGGGGCCCCAGTGGTAGCTCCTTGGAGTCACCTCCCTGCCAAAGTCCCCCTGGCTGGTGGCCCTGAGACCGGGGGCCTCAGGCCCTCTCTGGATTGAGCTAGCTGTGCTAGGAGCTCAGACAGAGGGAGCTGTGCAGAGGGGCCATGTGACCACGGCGTGGGTGGGATGCGGGAGATGTGCCAGTGCTGTGGGGCAGGGGCGGGGGGTGGAGGCCATGCTCTCAGGGGCCCTGTGGACTCCAGGAGCGCTGTCCCCTGTGAAGGAGAGTGTATCACGGCCCCACAGGAGGCTGGCTGGGCTCCCAAGTGTGGGCAGACCCCACAGGGCTGCGCTGGGCAGTCCTACTTTGGGCAGCAGCAGGGGAGCCAAGGGCTGTTCGGGAGCTGAGGAGGGGCATGGGGAGCCCTGTGTGGGAGGAGCATGGCTGTGGCTGAGTGTGGCCTCCAACCCCCCGGGGAGCCGCCTGCTTCTGTGAGCTGTGGCTAGGCTTTGAGGGGAGTGGAGCACACACCTGGCAGGCGCAGAGGACCCCCAGGCCCCACCCCATCCGTCCAGGACAGAGCTAATGTCCTTGGCTCCACGAGAGTTCAAGAAGGGCCAAATGCCGCCCGCACGGAAGCACCAGAGGCTCTGTCACCACCCATGGCACCTCCGCCAGCGCCCGGCAGTGATTCCAACCACCTGGAACACCAGGGCAGTGGGCCTGAGTGGCAGAGCAGCATCGGGCGCAAGACCGTGCCACAGGTTTCAGAGAAGCACACCCAGCCCGACTGGCCACTTCCCTCCCCTGAGCCCGTCCCAGGCCACGGTAGGCCACGGTGAGACACTCTTACCTGGAGATCTGAGGGAATAGCCCCTCCTGGGAAGGCAGGGCGCCCCTGTCACCTGGAAGAAAGAGAGCGGCTGTGGGCGTCACCAGGTGTGATGGGCAGGGACTCTGCCAGTTTGGGATTTAATGCTCTCTGGATTGTGACTTCACCAAGTCAGCTGTCTTCTGAACTTCTGTCACATCAGAGAGCATGTCCCTGTATGTCAAGCACCGAATGCCTGACTCCAGGAGACACTCAGTTCTCAGCAGTGTGTGGAAAGAGCACAGGGTCCAGCCCCAAGGACCTGGGCTCAAATCTCAGTGTGACCTTACCCCATGTGACCTGGACTCAACCTCTGTGAACCTCAGTCTCCTCCTCTGTAAAGTGGGGCCGTGGATATTTAACTGTGCCTGACACATCTCCCAGCTCCCCATGGCTGCTGGACCCACACCCTCTCTCCCTCTTTCCAGAGGGCTGCCTCTGTTCAATGTGCTAAGAAATTCAGTCTCCAGCCTTCCTAGGAGTGAAGAGAGAGAGCCCAATGGCCTCCTTCCCCAGGGTCCAGGCCCCCACATCCCGGGGACATTTCCTGGGTGTTCAGGAAGAAGGTCATGAGGCCGCTGGAACCCTCAGTGCCTGGGCAGGGAGGGGCACGGGTGCCTGGGTGTGGGCTGCCCTGGGCACCCCTGGCTCATGGCTGGTGGGTGCGGAGGGACCAAGGCTCCTGTTATCCCACTCAGGATACCTGCAGGGGTGGCCTCTGTGTCCACGAAGCTCCTTGAAGGACTGAGCCAAAGAGTCCACATGGGGTTTGCTCGATGTCAAAGGCTGGACTCTGTCCCTTCTGTGGCCTCTTCTCCACTGCCCAACTGGGTGTCCCCAACAAATACTCCTACACAAATCCTGCCTGTGGGCGCCTGGGAGGAGCCGCCCGAGGAGCTGTTCCCGGGGTGCGTAGGAGCCCCTCACCCCACACTCTGTAGCGGTTCCTGAGCTCTTGCTCTGTCCCGCCTGGGTGGGGGTCAGAGACGCACCTTGCCCTTGTTCCCAGGGTCTGCACTCGGGTCCTTTGGACTCCTGCCAAGTTTCCCAGCAACTCGAGGAAGAAATATCTGAAGGGAAAGGAAGAAACTTCAGGCTGTTACGGCCCCGCTGAGCAGCAGGCCACGGGCAAGAGTTGGAGCGGCCAGTCGGACGCAGGCTGGATGCTCTCTGTGCTTGGTCAAGAATGTTGGGAGGGCACTTCTGACCCACACATACTGCTCCATGTTTCTGGGATGAGTGCTGCTGGACTTAGTAATTAAAATCAGCACGCCCAGCTAACTCGCAATTCAAGATCAGCAGTGAATGATCTTGGTAAGAAGCGTGTCCCAAGTTGCGTGGGATATGTTTGCACTTAACATTAACTTGCAAAGTTCCCTGGGCATCCTGCATTGACCTGGAAACCCCCTTGGGAGTTCCTTTAAAAGCATCTTTCATCCTTGTGCCAAATTTCCTCCCCAGCAGAGTTTTGTAGGAAGCCTCGTAACTGGGCTGGGAGGAGGGTGCTGGGTTCAGATCCTGATAGAGGGCAGGTCCCTTCACCCTCATCTCCCCACCCATCTTAAAATGGCCATTCATCAAACCCTCCAACTCAAGGTTTTATCATCTAGGCTTCTATTTTTTTTTTCAGGGGAACTGGGGATTGAACTCAGGGGCACTCGACCACTGAGCCCTATCCCCAGCCCTATTTTGTATTTTATTTAGAGACAGGGTCTCTCTGAGTTGCTTAGCATCTTGCTTTTGCTGAGACTGGATTTGAACCTGTGATCCTCCTGCCTCAGCCTCCCAAGCTGCTGGGGTCCCTGCATAAGGGAGAATAACAGAAAATAGCAAGACAGCCTCAGCTGGAGCCCAACACAGGGCCTGGCTGTTTAGACATAGACTGGCTGAAGGAGGAGGCGGCACTGTGGCTCCCGGGAGGCCTGGACCCTCCACTCACCGGCAGGTTCGACCTCCTCCGGGGCTTTCCCGAGGGTTTCACCGTGAGCCCCGCGGCCCTCAGGGCTGCGATCCTGGCCTCGATGTCTGACACCTGGACAAGAGCAGACAGAGGACTAGACGGCCAGACAGGCACCACTGCGATGCCCCCTCCCAGAGTCACGGTCAGAGAGAGCAGCTGTCCCCAGCTCATAGGTAGAACCAACCATAGTGGCCTCCCCTGGAGACTGGCGCCCAATCAAATGCACAGCCTGAGGTCCCCTCGTGGGTGTGGGAGGCGTGCTCTTGTGGGGCACCCAGGCCGGTGGAGAGGCTCTGTGGATTTCCTGGGGGTGTTTCAGGAGGCCTGGCTCCCGCAGGCATGGGCACACTCGGGTACGGGCAGCTCTGGCCTATGCAGACCTGACACTAGAACCTCCCTGCCCTCCTGGGCCTCCTCTAGAACCTCCCTGCCCTCCTGGGCCTCCCCTCTGACAGACAGAAAGCTGTCACCCTGTGCCATTCAGAGCCCCCCAGTGTCCCCCCCAGGTTTAACTTTCTTGCCTCTTTTCCTTTTTAGGGGTGGGGTCAAACCCAGGGCCTTGTGAGAGTGACCCTGTGCTCTGGCACCGAGCTTCGCCCAGCCCCTCCCTGCAGTCTGCTCTGTGGCCTCCAGGCCTCTGCCGTCCACCTTCCTCCAGACCTGCCTCCCTGCCCCTCATCGCTGCTTTGGTTTGGGTTTTTGGGCTGATCCCTGAACGTGCCCCTCTCAACCCCGGCTGGGCCCTGGCACACGCCGTCCCTGGCACACGCCGTTCCCGCTGCCTGGACTCCCGCCTCCTGTGGGCGTCCCTCCCTGGCCTCCACTCAGAGCGCCGCTCCAGGCACTCTGTGGGCTCAGCCTTGCTTGATGTCCTCGTAGCTCTGTGTCCTCCCACTAAGACACGGGTTCCACGAAGGCCCGGCTGGCTGTGTCCCCGGGCCTGTCACACACCTGCCACATTCTAGGAGGGACTTAATGAACCCCAGTCCTGACCCCACCCTGTTCCTGCCCTGTGATTGGGCTGGGGGACCTGCCTGTCTTCCTCAGGTGCTTGCTGAAGGGCCAGGGCCACAGGCTGTCCCTGAGGTCTGGGTGGAGGGCTCCGGGGGAGGGGACGGCAGTGCCCACCTGCCCAGGGCTGTCCCTGGGGGCTCTTGTGATGGCTCTGGCCTTTGGCCTGTACACCAGGTATGTCCCTCACCTCAAGCTCTGCAGCCACAGTTCAGCCCCAGGTGGCCCTGGGCTGAGCCCCATCCTGCGCCTGGCTGTCCTAACTTCTCAGCTTGTGTCCAGCCCACGTACAGGAAGGGAGCTGTGGGCATCCACATGGTTCCCCGGGGCTGAAAGCCCGGCCTGCCCATCACCCAGGCCTAGGCCAGGGACAGGGGTGGGTGGGAGACCTCATTCTGCCTTCCCCAGCGGGCAGGGCCTCCGATAGCCCTCTGGGTGGACTGCTGGGGTCTCCGAGCCCACAGGTTGGCCCCAGCCCTTGGGTCCCTGTCTGTCTGGGAAGCTGCACTCGCCACAGGTAGGACTACCTCACTCTCAGTATGCTGAACTTGGGCAGCTGTCACGGCCACTCTGTCCTCCAGCTCCGACAGCTCCTCATCCGTCGTCCAGCTGGGCTGCACGGGCCCCCCGGGGCCCTTTTCCTGGGCATCGGTGGCTGTGCACACCTAGGAAGAGAAGGGTTGGGGCTGGCTTCCATCAGCAGGGACCACAGGACACTGTTTTCTGTGAACTCCCCGGGTGCGGTGGGTCTCCAGGTCCCCAGAATGGGTCACTCCATTCTGCTCTTATCAAGGGCCTTTGGTGACCCTCCATGGTTGGCTGCCTGACCTGGGGAGAGCCCATGGCTTAGTCACACACCACTGGCCAGCAGGGACTGTCCACCATGCTCCTGCCTCTGCTGTACTCTACAGAGACTGCTGGGGAGGCCTCACCTCTGGGTCCGGCCTGGGGAGGGCCCTGCTGGGGGTGGCCACATCCAGCTGGGTCTCTTCTTCCCTGACCTGCTCCTCCTCGGACGAGGTGCCCTGGTCACTGATGTTTCTGGTCAGGTCCTCCAGCTTCCTCCTCAGGGCCTCCTCCTCTCTGTCGGCGTCAGCGCCTGCTCCGGCAGCCGGACCCTGACGGAACAGGCAAGTGGCGCTCAGCGGCCTGGGAGCTGGGCTGGCCCAACACGCCCAGGCCCCTGCTGGAGCTGAGGTCCCTTCTCTAGGGAACCTGTCCCCAGGCCTGAGGTGACACCATGACCCATGGCCATTCAAGACTTGCCATTTTCTCTTCCTTCCCTTCCCTTAAATGCTTTTTTTTATTGAGTCAAAACATTTATGAAATTTACCATCTTAACCATTTTAAGTCTATGGCTCTGTGTCACCAATACCTTCCTACCACTGTGCAGCCATCTCGGTCACCTGCCCACAGGTCCCTAATCTTCCCTGAGACTGTCCCCATCAACACGAGCTCCGCAGTCCTCCCCCAGCCCCAGCAGCCACCACCCTGTGCCTGAGGACCTGGCCCCCGCAGCGCCTCCTGGAGGTCCTCATGAGCGGCTTGACCTCAGAGTCTGGAGGACCCCACTTGCACGGCGTCCTGCAGGCGCTCCCTGGTGGAGCTGTGCCAGGACTGCCTTCTTGTTTGGGGCTGGCCTGCTCGGGCAAGATGAGAGCTTTCCCCTCTGCCTCCCCAAAGGGCCCAGGCCTGCCATTTCCCCCAGCCCTGGAGCTGAGCCACTAACCATCACCACAGCCCTGGGCTGTTCACACCTTGCAGCGGGGCTGAGGCTGGGGAGGGACCCAGGCCCGGGGTTCTCCCTGTCTCCAGTGTTGACTGAGACACGCAGGCCGTGAATCTCCGGGCCCTCATCCTGGGGCGCTGGGCTCTATCCTGGACTTGCTTGCCCACAAGAACATTCAGGTCTCCCATTATGGTGAGTCTGCGAGGTCCAGGCACAGGCGGAGGCGCTGTGGCACACTCCCATGTCACCTCCCAGTAGAAAACAGGCCCAGACTCCCCAGGGGCGGCCGCGGACAGTGGGGCTGTTTCAGGAGACTGGGGGGCTGTGGTTTGAGACCCGGCAGTGGGGTGTCCTTTCAGGGCAGGCCCCATCCTTCACAAGGGACCCTGCTTGAATTCAGAGGCAGGGAGGCTGGCCAGCCTAGGGAACCTGTTTCCTCAACTTAGGCGACATTTCTAGAATCCAGAATGTCTCTGAATGCTGGGTTGGTCAGCGAGAAGCTCGGAGCTAACCCAAGCACCCGTGGGCCAGTCTGAATCTAGACTTCAGTTACTTCTCTGCAGCCTGAAATGGTGTTCAACGTTGGCAATTTCAGCCTTGACTTTTATAAGTGGCATTAGGACTGTAACTGGAGTTGGCCCATAAAGAGGTTGGAAGGGAGAACTAACATTGACTGTGCTCCTGCCCAGGGCTGCCTGGCGCTCACTTGGTGGATCCGAGCTTTTTCTGTGGGTGGGAGGCAGGGGCTTGGAGTCCTGAGTATCTTTGCCCGCGGACTCTCCGAGAAGAGGTCCAGTCCAGGGCCTGCGCTCTCTCCACGCCGGCTGCGGACCCCTTCACGGCTATTTGTGGAACGTCTCCTCTGTGCCCCGTTGCTCCTGGTCACACAAAGGCAGTGCTGATGCGTGAGCGTGAAGGAGTGTGTGCTCCCCTGGTGCCTCATCTGGGGCAGTGGGGGCCTACGGCAGGTTCTGCTGCTGCTGAGCGTGAGCTTTCCAGGGAGGGGTCCGTCCATGTGTCCGTTCCAAGAAGGTATCAGAGTTATGTGATAAAGGTACAAAAATGGCAAAATTGTCTCAATGATCTTTGACAGTGAACATGACCCCACACTCGGTGAGGTGACTGGAACGTGCCTCCGTCTTCATAGAGGGCCACTGCGTCCTTTAAGGTTTGCTCAGGCGGAAGCTCTGGGAGTCGCCCTGGACCCCCCTGGCTCTCATCCAACACCCATTCCTGTTGGCTCTGCCTGCCCAAGGCATCCGCTGCCCGGCACGAGGGATCCGCTGCCCGGCACGAGGGATCCGCTGCCCTGCTGGGTTCCACTGCACCTTCTCTTGCCTGTTAATCCCAGCCTCCTACCTGGCCTGCCTGTTTCCACCTGGCACCCCAGTCTGTTCACAGACCTGGCGAGATCCCTCAGCTGGCTCTCCTGCGCCCAAACCTCCCCTCTCTCCAGAGTCACAGGCAGAGGCTGGAAGATGGCCTTGGAGTCCAAGCCGTCCTTTACCTCAGCTCTCGTGGTCTGCTCGGCGATGGCTTCCGTGTGTCCCCAAAGCTTACATCCTAGGAATTCAGTCCCAGGTGGTGTTGGAGGTGGGGCCTCTGGGAGGGAATCAGGATCAGAAGAGGTCATGGGGGCTCCCAAGGCGGCACTGGTGGCTTTGTGAGAAGAGAGCCTGAGCTAGCCTGTTTCTCTGCCCAGCTGTGTGAGTCACCTGCCATGACAGGAGGTGGTGAGCAGGCCGTGCCCAGGTGCCAGCGCCTTGCTCTGGGGTGCTCCAGCCCAGGACCTTGGGGAACACATCTCTTTATATCACCAGCTTTGAGTATGCTGTGAGAGCAACAGAAAATGGACCAAGAGGCCTCTCTGCCCAGCCTCACCCCATCCCAGGCCCCTTGCCTCGGGCTGCTCTCTGGCCAGAGCACTCTGTGCCGATGGCCGCCCAGTGGCCTCGCGCCTCCTCTGACCGGGGGCAGCCCCACCTCTTGGCGGGGTGCCTCCACACTCCACTCAGGATGGCACCCTGCTCCAGTCCCTCTGGCCTCGCTCTGCTTTTCTCTGGCCTCCTCGGCATCTGGCCCTCGGTTCCCTGTTGGGTTGCTGACTTCCTCCTCCCTGACGGGAGCCTCACTCCAGAAGGGTGCACACTGGGCAGGAGCCAGGGCCCGGCCTCCAGCAGCTCCCCAAAGTCGCGGCTCTCTCCAGGTCTCAGGTTCACACACCCCGTCAGTAGCAGGGCCGCCCGGACAGAGTGCCTTCCTCCCCTCGCTCACTCCCCACCCCACCCGCCCACCCACATTTCCACCGCTTCGCCCCCACCCCAGGAGAATCTCAGCACTTCCTCCTCGCTGCCTCCCTCCTTCAGGAGTGAGTCACTGAGCGCCCCAAGGAGGGACAGGCCTCTCCACCAGGAAGCTGTCACGGCGCCCGGGCCCCAGGCAGCATCGATCCCTCCTGGCCCACTCTCCTGGGCAGCGGAGGATGTTGCTCACGACCATTTGATTTTCTGTTTGAACGAAGCCTATGAAGACAGATGGACAAGCCTCACTGCCAGGGCCTCACAGAGACACCAGGAGGCTGATTAGACTGCACAGTGGCCGGTCTTGTCTGGGTCTCTTCCATGATTCTATGTTCTGAGGAGGCTCAGGAGCCCAGTCTCCTCAGAGAACGTGTAGGAGAGGACCTGGGTGACAGGTGGCCTGCAAGCTCTGCTGGGTCCTCTCAGAACAAGACTTTTTCAGGCTATAGGGAATGAGCAGCTTCAGGCCCACGAGCAAGGGCAGGCCGCTGGTGGGGGGGCATCCACGGATACCCGAGAGAGGCAGGTCTGGCCTCCACCTTGTCTCCACAGATGCAGAGGTACACACGGGCCTCCGACCTACGCACACACCCATGCGCCCAGTGCACGGCCTAACGCACCTGACAGGATATGGTCAGGGTGACCGTCACTTCCTCGTCAGCTAGGGATTTCCAGGTGTGAGCACCAGAAGTCCCTTGTCCCCCTTAGGTCCCCTGCCAGCCAGGACGTCAGTCACCTGCATCCAGCACCCTCATGATGCTCAGGGGCCTGCTCCCCCACTGTCAGAAACCTCACTGGCTGTCAGGGGTCCTGGGCCCAAAGGGCCCAGCAGGGAGGTCCTGTGAGCCCTGGGGAGCAGGCCCCTCTGCAGCCCTGGGCTCATCCACGACATCAGGTCCACTTGACCCTGCCCAGGGATTTGTGTGGGGAGGAGGACAGAGTGAGGAGGCACCTACCAGAGTGGAGCAGGAGAGGCCTCCTGCAGGCCACGGGAATGGGTGGACCGAGGAACCATCGTCCTGGGTCAGCAGGAGGAGGAAGGAGTAGAGCAGGAAGAGGGCAGAGGAGGTGAGGGACAGATGGACAGTGTCCTTCCAGGAGGCAGAGCTGGAGCCTGAGGGTACCTGGGCCAGCATCCAACAGGAGCCCGTGGGCAGACTGGGGGCTGGGGTGCTGGGGTGGGCCCTGTGGCTCTGGGGGCCATGGAGCCTTCGTGAGAGCTTCCTGAGGGAGGAATAGCTCTGGCCCAGCCCGTGTCGGCCCTGGGCTCCCTGCAAGTGGCGGGTGAGTCCTTCCTGAGAGCTCGGCTTGGCTCCTCCTCTCTAAGCTAGGGAGGGAAACGTCCATCCTGACGGGACGCCTCGAGAGCCCAGCCCATGACGGGTGTGCGGCTGCAGACTTGGGGTGCTGCAGGGAGGGCACCGAGGCCCTAGGCAGGCGAGTGGCTTGACTGAAGGGCGGCCTGAGCCCACCCGCTCTGCACCTGCGACGCCGCCTCAGACACGGGATCCCAGGCACTCCCGCTCGCCTGCGTTAGGCCAGGCTGCGCTTGGTTACTGCTGTACGGTTGCCTAGGGGTCAAAGGTGTCCCCGAAAGCCCATGTGCACTGCAGGGTACCCAGAGAGGGGCCTACGTCAGAGGCACCTCAGAGGTGCCCCTGTCAGACTTCCCAGCCCCAGAACCGTGAGCTGACAAGTGTCTGCCCGGTTTACATCACAGTCTGCTGTATTCTGTTAGAGGGGCACAGACAGGCTGCGGCGCGCGCTGCGACGTGCTCCTGCTTGTGGCCTGGCCCCAGGGGCTGCGGGAACGAGTGAGTGCCAGGCAGTTCTCCCCTGGCTCTGCCTCCCAGCCGCCCTCTGAGAAGGCTGTGGGTCTTCTGAGCTCTCTCACAGCTGAGTGCAGGGCACGGGAGTGGGCCTGGACGGGGCGGGTGACCTCACACGGGGGTCTGTGCAGGGAGACACCTGCCCTTTGAGCTGCACACGTGGGTTCACGGCTATGAGTCGTAGACCTCAGGCAGAGCCAGTGTGGACAGCTCGGGCCCCTCAACCTGGGGGCTGCGGGCTGTCCTGCTGGCCCAGCCCCACACTGTGCCCTGGGCTGGGGGAGGCACAACCGTGTTCTCCAGGTGCCCAGCAGGTGCTCCATGGCCAACACTCACTCAGCTGGAGGATCGGGGCCGAGGCCAGCCCACTCCCAGCAGCAGGACCCTGTGCCCACCACCTCCGAGCCCTGAACTCCCAGGAGAGGGAGGGAACGCCGACGCTGCCCACCCCAAGGCCTGGGAAGGTCACCAGAGACGCAGGGAAGTGACCAAGCCCGGCAAACGAGGAAGCCACACTGAAGGCTCTGACATGTCATTACTGCCCACAGCTCTCGTCACCACTGACACCGATCGGCACAGGAAGGTGTGAATCAAGCAGGACACAGTGACCAAACCAAAGCCATTAGCTAGCAAGAGCCCTGGGTCACTCGCTGGCCAGCAGTGACTCCAGGTGACATGGCAAAATGACCAAAAGCCCCACTTCCTCATCCTTGAGTCACCAGACCCTGAGTCACCCGAAGTCTATTAGCTCCCAGATGGAGAAGGAAAATCAATATTCTTTGGCTGCCGCAGGCAGAGGCGCCGCCCCTGCATTATCTCCCTCACAGCCCCGCAGCCCCGGCTTTCAAAGGGAAGTGGCACAGGACACGCGCATTGCCGGGAGGTGATTAGTCTCATCTCCACAGCACCGAGGGCTTTGAGTGGGAGAGGCGCAGACGCTGGAAACGTCCAGGCCGGGGTGTGCGCTGGCCGTGGCCCTCGCCTGCCTGAGTGCCGCTGCACGCAGAGACCAGCGCGGCCGCTGTCAGCGTCTGCAGGGCGGCGATCAATACCTGCAGGAGCGGCTGGGCAGATGGCCTTGTCTCCACACACATGGCACATGTGGGACTCGAGAGGAAGCAGCCCCACCCAGAGCACGCTGAGCATCCCTGGAGGAGGCCGGTGGCTGGACTGGGGAGGTGACTAGCTGGGGAGGCCAGGAAGGTCAGCGGGGGTGAGGGGCTTGGTGCTGCCTTCCGACAGGACCCTGGCTGCGGCCAGACTCTCCCAGCTAGGAGGGGGCTTCCCTCTGGTATCCAAAGCCTCTGGCTGCCTTCTAGATAATCCCAGGGCACAGTGGCTTCTTGGGCTCTCACAAGGAACTTCAACACATCTCCTTTTGCCTTTTGCCAAAATGGCAGAAGGAAGAATAAGCAGCTTAATTCTCCATGTTGATAATAAGGGAAGAGCTGGGGGTGGTGGGCACACTCGTAATCCTAGGGACTTAGGAGGCTGAGGCAGGAGGATCTCAAGTTGGAGGCTAGCCTCGGCAACTTAGTGAGGCCCTGTCTCAAAATAAAATAAAATGGGCTGCGGGTGTAGAGCACCCTGTGGTAAGGGAAATCTGCCCCTCCCTTCCTCTGCATTTTCTTTCAGGATTTCTTTCTCTTCCTTTTCAAGTGTTTGTGAGTCTTCATCAAGGGCTAAAAGCTCAGGACCCAGGAGCCGCCTTTTTGAAATGCAAACAACAGGACAGTCTCCGGGTTCCTTTGTGTGGCAGAGGGGAGGGGGCCCTGTGTCAGTTTGCAGAACTACCTCCTGCCTAAAGACAGAATTGGGTTTCTTTTCCAGGTAAACCAGCACAGGTGGTCTTCTCCTTCACTCTATGACACAGTTAGGGCAGCCTGTGTGACAAGAGGCTCTGTCAGGTCCTGTCCCTGAGGACTGCTTACTGCTTATCCTGAGGGCATGGAGGACAGGGGAAGTTGGGTGGGGTCCGGGCGGGACCCTTCCCAGCCTCCCTCCCATTGCCTGGGTGTGCACTGGATTCTGGTTTTATATTTATTCAATAAAAAACCTTTTCTTTTTCTTGTGGAGAGGTATTCTGGGAAAATATTTTTGGGTTTTAAAAAATTGTGCGGTGACAGCATTGCATGGGGTGGGGCTCCAGACCCTGCCTGGGCTCCAGGTGTGGGTCTGCCTGGTGCCTAGATGTGTATGCGCGGGAGTCCTGGCAGGAACCCCTGGGGCTTCAACTTGCATGCGACAAAACCAACAGATGCAGTTTAGACATGCACCACAGACAGACCTGGGGTTAAGGGGAGCCCTGTTGGCCCCACTGATGCTTTCATGGAGAAACTGAGTCAGTGTCTGCAACAGGGCGGGCAGGGCATGGATGGTGCTCCATGTCCTCTCCCCTCCCCATGCAGCCCTCTGGGGGCTCCTCCACGGGGCCTCTTGTGCTCTCCTGATTGTGTCCCCCAGAAAGTGGCAACCATGAATGCAGAAGCACACGCGGCCGCGGCCAAGTGGACCACTTAAACACCCTTGGTGGCTCTGGGCCCGTGCGTGTCTGAGTCCTGGTTCAGGAACCCTGGTCTGAGGGTGGGTGGGCTCAGAGGGCTTTCTCTGGGGTCCTGCAGAGACCTCCCCAAGACAGGCTGGGGCTCCTCACTGAAGGGCACGCTGCTGGCCAGCAGGGGTTTAGGCCAACTCCCTTCATGCGCAGACTGAGGGACATCAGGGAGGGCAAGTGCTGTAGCAACAGTAAGTACGAGGAATAGATACCGAGAAGGGGTTCCAGAGATACCGCCGCAAACAAGGAGCAGCGGAGCACTCCCCAGGAGGGACCCTTCGACCGCAGACCTGCCAGACCCCCTTCCTCACAGGCTGAATGGCATGCCACCCTGTGGACCCGCTTGTGGTCCAGCTGAGGGTGGGCACGTGGGCTGCTCCCCAGTTCAGCCACGCATCATGGTCCACGCTCAGGGGCACAAATGCCTCTGAGTCCCTGTTTTCCATTCTTTTGGGGGCAAACCCAGAACTGGAGTGCTGGACCTCAGGACAGCTATCTTTTTATTTTACTTTACTGATTTATTTTAGGAACTGCCATAATAACACGGTTAGCTTTATCTTATGTGAATTCACTTCAATAAAAAAGGCATTTGATGCTGTCTCTGCACGAAACAGGTGATTTCACTTTGCAAGTAAGTACTGAAGGGTTAGTTCCTCTAAAATGGCGCGTGTGAAGCGCCATTCTACACTCGAAAGCCTGGATTCTGTCAAGCCCCGGTACCTGGCTCTGGGCTGCCGTCTGCCCTCTCCGTCTGCTGTGCTGGGCGGCCGCCGCGGTGGCCCAGATGCTGTTTTCGTCAGAACTGTCCACGCTGGGCAGGTACAGCGAGGGCAGCTGCTCGTTCCGACTGGGCTTCATCCCTTGGAGAGAGAGAGGGTTTGGATTACTTGGAGGGAAAGCTCAGAGTCGACACCCGTGCTCTGTCCAGATGAAGAAGAACCAGAGACCAAAGTGAAGCCATGGCTAGGTTCCTCTGCTGCTCTGGGTGGGGACTCTGAAGTCACAGGGAGAAGGGGCGAATCCGTAGCCCCCCGCCCCAGGTCATCAGGGAACAGAGCTTGGGGGCAGAGCTTTCCTGTTTGAAAGCAAATTTAACATGACCCCCAATTCTAAACCACACCCAACCCCACATGTGTGGAGGGCAGCAGGCTGGGAGGTGTCCACAGTGGGGGTGACTTTAGGACATCTGCCCAGCAACATGGCCTCTGTGGCTGTTTTCCGTCAGACCCAGGATTCACAGGCCTTCCTGGTCCTGCCCCACAGTGTGGCTGGAGATGCTTATTTCTGGGCTCCAGGGGGAGGTAACGTTGCTGTCACCACGTCCTGAGCAGAATGTGCCCTCCACGCCCCCAGCTGGCACCACACACAGCAACACGGGCAAGTCCCATGGAGGGTACTGTGCAGCAGCTCACTCCCCAGAGCCCAGGACACCTGCCCGGCTCTGCCCCTGACGCGCAGGGACCATGCTGCACTGTGGGTTCTGCCCACCCCCGAGCAGGCATGGAGACCCTGTGCAGGGGCACACAGCTAACCCGGCCTGCCCGCCTGGCCCTGGTGTTGAGATCACCGGGTGTTGTTCAAGCTGCTACATTTGTGGCAACCTGTTATGCAGCAGGGGTCGACAGAGACGGCCATCTCATTCGCTCTGTGGGGCTAGACTCAACCAGTGTCTTTTCTCTAAGGAGGACGCCGAGGCCGGAGGGTGGACGTTCATGGCAGAGCACACCAGGCCCATCTCTCCGCAGCCCTCCAGCCTGCGCCACTCCATTAAGAGACAGCAGGCCGAGCTCTGGGGCGCCCCCTCTGCCAGCTCCCTGGAAGACACCCCTCCTCATCTGAGAGACGCTGGAAAGCACAAAGCATTGGTGCCTGGTGAAGGGCTGGGGGGGGGGCTCCACGCCCAGAGGGCCCCCTGCAGGGCGCCTTCTTCCGTGTCCCACCTCAGCCCCTCGCCTGCCTGCCTCCTCCATGTGCCAGGTGACCTGAGGTCACAGGAGGGAATGAAAAGCCACCAGGGCTTGATCCCTGGGCTGCCTGTGGGGTTCATTCGTTCATTGTTTGGGGACAGGGAGTGCAGCCCCACCTTCCAAAGCCCCCAGTGCTGTGGTCTCAGAACAATGGAACGGGACAGGCTTCCCACTCCCAGCTGCTCCAGTCTGCGGTGCTGCCTCTGATCTCATTTGCTCTGACTCACGGGGTGTCTGAACTCCTGAACCCGCATGCTCCCTGGGGCCCAGGAAGGCAGAGATTTCATTTAGAAGCAACACTGTCTTGACAAAATTAAATGGAACAAATTCAGGTTGTCTTATTCCAGGGTCCCTGATTGTAACCAGGGGCACCCAGACAGGACCCACTCCATCCATAGCCAAGTGCAGCCTCAGGCCTGGTGGAGCTGGCCTGGCAACCGGGTGACCGTGGCCACTCTGTGAAACCTGCATGTCCCTACCCCAGCCAGCAGCGTGAGTCGGGCATGGTCAGCCCCTCTGCCGGTGTTTTAGGTGCCACAGGGAAGCACCCAGCCCAGAGACAGCCGGGGTCCTCGGTGCTTGCCAGGCAGCACACACGGGTCAAACGCGTGGGAGAAGGGGCTCTTCTGAATCGCCCAGTGTGTGTGCACTAATCCAGTGGACAGGGGAGGTGCTCAGCCACCCCTGGCCCACCCAGAGCCCATCTGGAAGACCCTGGACAACAGCACCCACCGGGCACAGTAGCAGGCCCCAGGGCCATCTTGCAGGAGTCCCCAGGCAGGCACGGTTCAGCAAGGGCATCCTGTCCAGTAGGTGGGGGGCTGTCTGGATGCTCTTCTGGATGGGGATGGCACCTGGAGGTCCTAGCATGAGCCTCTTCCAGGATGGCATCCTCCTGGGAAGTGGCACCCTCGGAGCAGGGCTCTCCTGAGAGGAACTGAGGACAGGGGCCGTCAGCCTCCGCAGTCCTAGGAACTGGGTCCTTCCAGCCCAAGTCCTGAGGGGCCCAGGCCTCACGTGACTGACGGACCCTAGACACCCACCTGCTCTGCTGACTGTCAAGGACCATGCCCATTTGCTGCCTGTTCTGTGTGGCTGCAGAGCTGGGGTTCCCAGTGATACCCGGGAAGCCCACGGGTCTGGTGCTGCCCGGGGGTCGGGCTCACCCTGGGGCCCCCATGCGGGAATTTCGGCTTACTTTGGGGGTGTGTGTTGCTACTGCCTCTACTTTGATAACCCTTCAAGGGTCATCCTTGGATGGGGACAGAATTTCCTGAGCTTTCCAACAGAGGAGTCTCTGTACTGTGCCACTGTCCCCAGGGAGACAAGGTGTCGAGGGCCTCTGGAAGCGACATACCACAGCTCCTTTGCGGCCTGAGTGTTGGTGGGTGGGTAGGAAGGAAGCAGTGGCCAGGCCCTGGAGGCCCCTGGAAGTACCGACACCAGGCCCAACCTGCAGCAGGAGCAGGACCCTGGGCCCAAAGTCCAAATGGGCGCTCGCATCTGGAGCCCTGCCCTGGTGTCCCCTCCTCCCAACAGTGGGCAGATGGTCCTGCCCAGCCCTGGCTGGCTGAGTCTGGAGGACACTGGCAGCTGGAGTTTGGGCCTCTGGGAAGCTGGACTCGTCTCTGGGCCTGGTCCTGGCTCTTGTGCCCACAGATACCCTCACTGCTAATGGGGCATCTCACGAGTGCCATCCACAGTCTCCAGCCCTGGAAATGCCCTGTAAGGCAGAAATGGTCACCCCTCTTCCAGAGGAGGGGACAAGGCCTCAGAGTGGTGTCCGGGGTCAAGGCCTCACAGCTGATGAGCAGAGTGACCCCAAATCCTGGTTCACCTGGTGGCCCCTGTGTGCACCCTTTTCATTCCCAAGACTGGCCCTCCTTGGGCAATGAAGTATATGGTCCCCTACTGTGAGATGGAGACTCCGGCACAATGTCAGGCCCTGTCTGGCTCCAGGCAGATGCCACTTTGTCCTGCCCTCCTGAGATCCTGGGCACTGACCCCCATGACCTGACCCCCTGCCTGGCCCACCTCTCCAGGTTCTCCAGGAAGCCCAGTCCTGGGAGGGCCTGAAGTATCTTTATTTCCTGTCCCAACTGTTCCCTGGATCGAGAACCTGGTCTGACACATGGCTATTCAACACTTCCCAGAGCACCCCTCCACCTGGAGCCCAAGCAAATGCTGCCCCAGTTCCCGGGAGGGGCAGAGCCTGCTACCTGCAGAGTTGCTGTGGCCACAGGGACCGAGGGCGGGCTCGGGGGCTGACAGCAGGCCTGGGAGGCAGGGTCCAAGTCTTCCTCAAAGTCCACATCACGGAAGGAGAGGAGGCGCTTTTTCTTTGCAGGTGTGAAATGAGCAAGACTCAACTGCGGTCAGCCTGACAGACAGGACCAGACCCAGCCCTCTCTGCCTTAGGGCAGTGGAGCTCCTCAGTGGGCACATCTATCTCTGTGCTAGGAACAAAGCTGCAGAGCCCCATGTGGCTGGGGGCCCAGACTGAGCCCCACAGCACCACCCTTAGACCCCTTGGGCTGTAAGTCCAAACCCCAGCCTGCCTGCCCAGCCCCCTCCTCCAACCCGAGCCCAGGGCCTAATCGCTGTGTCTACCACCAAAAATAAGTTAAGAAGTAGGTAAAACCAGAAGCAAACACCAACAAAGACAAGGCTCAGGTTGGTGATAAAAGCCAAAATGTCCCGGAGGAGAACCTGCCCGGTCTTCTCTGAGACAGGAAGGCCGCCTGCTTGCAACCCCACTGTGCCCACCACTGTCCCCGCTCTGGCCCCACTCTGCGCCTGCCATCAGGCTCTGCCCAGCCCACAGCTATCTGGGGTCCTGGATGCCCTTGGCAGGAATGGGATTCTTCGTGCTCAGCTGTAGGAGCTGGGGAACCAGAGGGTACCACGACTTTCAGGAATCGCAGCCTGGGGTCAGGGAGGGGGGAGGCAGGGTGCCTGGGGAGGGTGGGTGCTGGGAGGACTCACTCTGTGGCCAAGGGGCTGGGCCTGGGCCTCCGGGCCGGGTTCTCCATCCTCATCTGTCTGCTCGCTGTCTCCACTCCTCTCTCCCACGCTGGGCTCAGGTCCACCTGCGACAGAGCCCTGCGTGACTCCACTGGAGGGGCCGGCTTGAGGGCTCACATGGTCCAGCCACCAGCCACCTACCACCCCATCCCCTCCCCTCCCTCCCTCCTCTTTTCCTCCCTCCTTCCCTCCCCCTCCCCTTCTCCTCCCCCACCGATCCATTCATTCACTGGGAAATGCCCAGGCAGGGGCTTCTGCTTGCCTTCCCAGACCCATTCAGACCTCAGCTAGGAGCTGGCCTGCCTCACAGCAGACGACCCCCACTCTGCATCCGCTTCACCTGTGGCTTCTGGCCACATCTTCAGGCGTTCACCCTTCACTACTGACCCCTTCTTTGGGGTTGTGATGGGTGAACAAGGCTGATGACACCTCTCCATCTAGTCTCATCATTGCATATCAGCGCAGCTGGGAGAGGTAAGGCTCTGCCTCAGCATGCCCCTCTTCACCCTGAGCACCCAGGCCTGGCCTCCCCGGCTCAGCCTCCCCGGCTCAGCCTCCGTCTTCTCCTGTTTCCAGTTCACACCAGCCTGGTCGGTGCTCCATTGCCTTAGACCACGGCAGAGAGCTATGCAGTGAGTGAATCCCAGGGCACTGGAGCTGGAAAGCCTGGTGGGTCACCACCTTCCAGTTTCTGGGGCCACAGAGGGCACAGCTGGCCTCATGTAGCTTGTGGCCTCTGGGCCCCAGCCAGGTCTTGCTGTCCCTGGACACCCTACCCGATTACCCTCCCCTTGGTCTCTGTGTCTGAGGGGTCTCAGGTGTGAGAAAGCAGGGGTCTCAGGTTTGTGTAAGGAGGAAATTTTGGTGCACTGGAGGGTCCCTGTCAGCTGAAAAGGGGAGGAACCCCTCCGTTCTGCTCTGCGACGCAGGATTGGCACCCGCAAACCTCAGTGGTCTCTGCGGCAGATGAAGAGGGAGCAGGCACGTGCCGCTTCCTGTGGCTTCCCGCCCCAGGGCCCTTCACCCTGACGGCGGGTCCAGCTTCATGGCCCCTGAGACAGGAGCACTAGCCTGCAGTGTCCCCTCCTCAGGGGACTGGCTGCCACCTCTGTGGCCTCCTCTGAGCTCTTGTTTCTATTAATCAGGGTCTGCCCTTTGCTCCCCAGCCTAGGGAGGGCTGATGGTGTTCCCCATGGGCGCCTCATCGTGCATCCACCTGTCCACCCAGCTGCGAGTGCTGCTCATGCTCCTTGATAAGGGACACAGCAGTTGAAAGCTCTGAGCTGAGCCTTGGCCTGCTCTGGCTTCTCAGCTGTGTCCCGACCCAACAGTGACCCTGTCTATGGGTGTGTGAAGTCTGTCCAGGTGCCTGGTCCTGTCGAGGCCAGTAGTGCCCTGCTGCCTATGGAGGGACATCAGGGAAGACACTAGCAGGGGACAGGGAACCCCCCCGGACCTGTCCGCCTCAGTGGACTGTGAGACACAGGCCTAGTGGGAGGAGGGGTGGGGCGGCAGCCTGGCTCACTCTTTGCTGAAATCTTTTAATCTACAGACTAAAACTGCCGGGTTTCAAAGGGGCCTGCTGCCCGTGCCTGGGCTCTGACAGCCTGCGCTCACGAATGCAGCAGAGGCCCCGAGAGCAAAGGCAGAAGGCAGGCCTGGTCATTGTTTCTGTTCTAGGTCACTGACTTGACGGAGACTCACCTAAACCTGCAGCAGCAGACACAGAGGCAGGGGGTCCCGCAGTGGGGGCGTGGGCAAGGCCCACCCGGGCTTGGAGGGGGAGCCGGCTGCCGCCCACCTCGAGTGACGCACCGGGCCTTCAGGACCTGTTTAGTTATGGCTCCGATGTCTCTGCACTAGGGGCGAGGGTTTGAGCCGCGTTAACCATCTGAGCACCACGCTGAAGCAACCCGAGCGCTTCCCCGTTCCTGACAGAGCAGGCAGCCGAGGGCCTTTTCATTCCCACATTCAGACTTTTCCCACGCAGAGCCCACCGCTCCCGTGTGGAAGACCAGGAAACGGGCCTTACCCTGAAGGTGGACAAGCCACCACAGCCCACCCACCTGCTGGACAAGGTCTGAGCCATGCTCTGCGGGGTCAGACTCCAAAATTCTAACTGTTTTTTTTTTAAGTTGAATACTTTTTTTTTTTTTTTTAAAGGCACAACTCCTCCAGCCACCCCTCTTCCTTGTGTGGTCTTAATGTGATGCATTTACAGGGGCCCAGGCGGGCACCACTCTGGGAGGAGTGTGAGGAGGGCTGAGACCTGCATCTGCAGGGCAGAGGGCAACCCCGGGAATCCCGCTGCAGGGGCCAGCTGTTTCTTGCTGCCCCACAGCGCCACCTCCTGGCCCCCAGAAATCAGCATTCCAGGTCTCCAGGGTTCTCTGGTGGCTGTGGGCCCTTTGGCACAGGGACTCCCGGGGGCTTTGTAGCAAGGCTTCTCTGCTGCTAGGTGCGTCATCTTTGTCCTCGAGCCTGTGCAGGGGCTGCCCTGCTGGAGAGGACACCTCACTGGGCACAGGATGTGGGATTTGCTGGGCGCTAGCCGGAGACTGAGGTGGCAGCGGCCACCAAGGACAGGTGACAGCCTCTCCCGGTGGCATGGGAGCTGTCCTGGCCCCAACTGTTGTTTCAGCATGGTTATCCACAGGGCTGGGTGACTCACCACACCCCTGTGTCCCCACCATCACCCCGCCTGCACTCCAGGGCTGACCACTCCCTGGGTGGCCTCTCTGTCCCAGATGAAGGACAGGCTGAGATGCCTCAGAGATACTCGTGCCAGGCCCAGCCTGAGCTCAGATCCTCTGAGGGCTGGATGTCTGGCTTCTGTTTCTCCCTGTCAATGGGGGCTTTAGGGGACAGGCGCAGACAAGGCACCTCTACAGAGGGAGGCCTACAGGAGATGCCTGGGCGGGGGCCAAGGAAGGACACCCCAACCGAGAAGCCCAGCATCTACTCTGGATGTGCAGAGCTGCTGGAACCCTCACCTGCCGCATGCCCCAGGGGTCTCCCCTTGGTCCTGCAGGGTGCTGAGAGCCCACACCAGGCTTAATGATATACCTAGGACTCAGGTGACAGGGACAAAGCAAGATCCTCCCTCAAACCCTGCTCAATTTCCGCCTTCGGTTCAAGCTCGGGCATCCTTCCCTCCTGCCCCTGTTCTGTTCTCTCTTTCCAATCGCCTCGCGGGGCATGACGGGGCCATCGCATTCTTAGCTCAAGTTCATCATGGAATAATCACTTGTATTCAAAACACTAAAATAAATGATGAATTACAATAAATTTCTCTGTCTTGGTTTGCATCAGAAGCCTTGGGATGCCCAGGTCTCCAAGACCAGATGTCCAGGGTGGCCAGGCCTGGCAGAGGTGTCACGTTGACACATGCCTAGACCAGGACGGAGACCTGGCCGTGTGTTCTCAGTGTGGTGTGAAGCTCTGGAAAGAAACACCATTTCAAATGGTGGGGCTGTCGACAGCATGTGGGCTTCCCGTGACCAGGGAGGCAGAGGGCTGCAGCTCCGGCTGAAAGCAGCCAGGGTCACCAGGACGCCAGAGGCAGGGGTCAACGGAAAGGTCAGTGCACACACACTCTCTCTGCCTCTCTCCGTCTAAAGGCCCTAAAACATGAAATCACTCCTGGCGATGGAGAGAGCGCCCTCTCCTTACCTCCTCCCTGCAGCCGCCCGTAGAGGGACCGGATCACTTTGGCACTCCCGAACCGCTTGAAGCGGGCTCTCACGTGTGCGTGGTACCACTCCAGCGAGCCCATCTTCAGGACTCTGCAGGGAGAGGAGCACAGGCCTGTGTTATACAGGCACATGCAAATGCCTCTCGCCAGTGGGGCCACCCCCTTCAGCCCACCCAGGGAAAACCCTGGCCCAGAAACCATCAGGGCCGCTTGGACGGAGGCCCCAGCTCACCTGGCCAGGTGGCAAGGGTCGCAGAGCCAGCCCTGCTCCTCCGGGTGGCTGTGGCTGCAGCTTTTGCAGGTGAAAAGGCCACAGTCCAGGCACTGCCTTCTGCTGGCCAGGAGCCGGTAGGGCTGCAGGCAGCGGGCGCAGTGGGTGTCCTTCAGATGGGCCGTGTCCGCCAGCAGCTCCCTCTTGGAGCTTTCCTTCTTGATCCTGCCCTTCAACTCCCTCGAGAAAAGACGGAGACAAAAACACATCAGGTGTCTTCTTTTTACAATAGGTTTAACCGCGTGCGCAGGTGTGTGCGCACACAAACTATCCCATGTGCAGGAGGAGACCCAAAGTCAGGCAACAGTGGCCTCGGGTATCCTTAGCCGCCACAGTGCCAGCCCTGCCCTTACCCCGTCCCTGGGGAGAAGACATATGATCTTCAGAGAAATGACACTGCATTTAAGCATTTCTGTGGCTTTTACAATTGTACCAGTGCTCGGATGGCAGGGCCACAGAGTCCTGAGGGCAAAGCTAGGTGACATTATCTCAGTGAGAAGTTTTGGGGCTCCTCCGGCAGGGGAGCAGGAATTGAGGCGAGGCCACAGGCATGTTCCTGTGAGCAAAGCTGAAATGGCTTGGCTTGGCGGGTTTCCAGGTGGGACCATCCAGCACCTGGAAGTCCCAGGAAAACTGCGTCTTCTAGCCCACCTTCTTGGCTGACTTAGTTTAGATGATCTAGCTTCCTGGTGAACCTGCCAGATTGCACTCGCTGGAAAACACACTCCCCATCATAATGAATGCATTCTCTTTGTTCTGGGTTTCAGAGAGTGTCTGCCAAACATAATATTTTTAGTTTTAGATGAGGTAAAATGAATCCGTTCTGAGTGGCAATAATTAGTGAGAGACTGGGTGCCATTGTCCCCTGAGGACTCTGAAGTTCTCAGAATTTTGATGGGGACAGCCCAGCATGTGGCAAAGGTGAAGAGGTGTTCAGAGGCTACTTCTGGTTTGAAGTGGCTTTGGCTGAGGTTCGCAGTAGTCCCCCTCATCCCCAGCTTCAGCTACCCATGGTCCACGAAAAAGAGGGGTGAGTATGGTGTCATAAGAGAGCGGTGAGCACACGTTCCCATGACTTTGATTCCAGTGGGTTGTTATACTCATTCCATTTTATTCGAGTCATTACTGTTGATCTCTTACTGTGCTGCCCTGTAGATCAAGTTTCCCCAAAGGCAATGTATGCACACAAGTAAACAGAGTGTGTGCAGGCTCAGTAGTACCCGTGGTTTCCGGTATGCACGGTGTGACCTGGAAATGGTCCTTTGAGAGTAAGAAGGGACACTGTGCTGCTCATGGGGATGGAAATGAGACTCTTCTTCTGGGTTTGTGAACCAAGGGGAAAATGCACCAGAAGTTGCAAGACTCTGGGGGGATACGGTCACCTACTGACTGCAGTGCAGATGGAGTGGGGTCGACAGCACAGTCTTCACCTCAGATAGAGGTTCGCGAGGCGTCAGGAGCCAGTGGGAAGGCCCAGTCTCCTGCGATTCCACTCCTGCCAAATCCCCACGAAGCCCCCCCGCCCCTTCCCCAGGCAGGGCTTGCCCGGCTCCCTCTTAGGGAGTGCTCCCTGCTCCCCATCCCAGCAGAACCAGACCCAGGCTCCGCACAGCAGGGACAAGGACAAGGATCTGCAGGAGGTGAAGTCCTTTTAAATATCAGCCCAGGCTCCTGGGGGTGTAGCTGGGAACTGGTGTAGTTCAGGTGCTGGGTTTGGGGAAGGCATAACTCTACTCTGCTTCAGGTTCTTTAAAACATAACTTCCTTCACAGCAGAGCAGAAAGGGAGGGTGGAGGGGTCCCGTGTGGGGACACCAGGAGACAGCTGTCAACCGTGGGGCACGACTCCCAAGCTGGAGCTTCAGGTAGGGACAGGCTTGTGGGGCCAGAGCGACCTACAGCTGTGCTCACTGCAGTCACCAGCAGGGACACCAGCAGGCAGAAGCCCAGCACGCAGCCACAAGTTAAGGTCACCTTTGGGGGTAAAGGACTCCCCAGCATGTGACTTACATCAGAATCAGGAGAAGACCTGAAGCCCTTCTGCTTGCTGAGCTAAAGAGGGTGACAGAGGGCAGAGCAGGGAGGGCGGGAGCTGCAGGGGGAAGCCAGACTGGGAAGGGGGCCACAGGCCGTGCAGGCGACGAGGGCGGGGAGCCGGCCATAATAGACAGCAAGGGGTCCCGGGGCTCTCTCCTGCAGAAAATGAAATCCAGAGATTCAGAGGAGTGGTCCTCAAAGTGTGGCCCAGGGACCCCAGGGGGTCCTAAGGTCCTGCAGGAGAGTTCACGCGGCCAGAGCAGTTTTCATAACAGCACTAGGACGCATTTGCTCTTCTCCCCTCTGTTGCTAGGCGGGACCAGGTGCCAAAGCAGCGGGGACAGAACCGCCAGGGCTTCAGCCCTGAGAGAGGCTGGGCGCCCAGGTGGCCGAGCAGAGGCTAATGCACAACAAGGAGAAACGAGGTTTCCCAGGTTTCCCGTAAGCACCATCTCGGCGAGGCAGTGAGTTAGGAATCCCTCTGAACGCTGACCACGGCACCCCGTTTTGGTTCTGTGGGACAGCGGGCGGCACACTTCCTGACATGGATGCTCGCACAGTGGTGTTCAGAGGTGAGAACAGGGTGACAACTGAAAACTCTCGCCACAGAACACCATTTTCACCCGACTGAACCACTGAGTGAGCTGCTCTGAAGAGGGTGTCTGACAGGTACCTCCTCCCAAGGGACACAGTGAGCCTGCCTCTTCAAGGAGGAGGTCCGCAGCATTGGTTGCAGGGACAGAACTGAAAGTGTCAAATGACAAAGCAGGATTTGGGGAAATTCCATCATGAACTTGACAGCCTCCAACACCCAGAGGTTTCTGACGAGATCAGTGGCCACGTGACACACGTGGTCTCCTTTGGGCAGCAGGAAGGGCATCTGCAAGACACCGGGAGTGGCATTTTCTGATGACAGGTCACAACATATGGGTGGAAGACTCTTGTGCAGACCCACGGGTTAATGTAACAGGAAAGGAAAGGGCTGCAGGTCTGTTTCAGAGTCCACATGGAAGCCAAACTATGAATCTACTAAGCACCAGCCTCTCAGTAGGTAACGCAACCCACAGTGGCAACCCTGTGATGAGGCCCGTGAATTTCTCTTTCCAGCCCCGGATGTGTGAGGCTAGACTCCAAGGCTGCTGCTCAGAGGACACGTCACAGCACACTGAACCCGAGGCCACAGGAGAGCTGAGCTGTCTTCCACCAGGACAGGCTTTGAAGGGATTTTGGAAAACAGATCAATGCTGCTCTACTTACTCATCATGCTTTTGCTTTGGAAAAAGAGTTATTTTTCATAGAAATGCTATTTACATTAGCATGTAAGTGCTGCTATTTTTAAATGAATGGATGCCTTTAAACTGCCCAGCTTGAGGTTCTAATATGGTCAGTACTGGTAATGCATGACCTATGGATAGTGACTGTGAAGGGATCCTGAAGTCAAAAAGTTTGGGACCCACTGATTTTGCAGTCAAGTTAGCTCTGGCCATAGAAAATGATGGGGTCAGGAGCAGGAGAGAGGAGGAGGGTGGGACAGGAGAGAGCGACGCCCCGGGGCCGCAGAGCCTGGGCAGCAGGGCCCAGGGAGCAGGAGAGGAGCACGTTGAGAGCTGTGGGTGGTGGTCACAGGAGAGCTGTGGGTGAAGTCCAGGGAGATCTCTGCTCTGGGGGACGCGTGGAGTCCCTAGGAAATTCAGACAGAAATGATGGGAGGAGACTTTCTAAGACAGGCCAGAGCCTTCAGCCACGAGGGGAGGAGGGAAGGAGGGCCAGACCTCAGGAGGACTGCAGCAATCAGACCTGTGTGTCCTGCTCTGCGGCTCTTGGGATGCAGTCCAGGTGACAGCCAGGTGGCAATGTGCAAGAGTAAGGGGGAGAGGAGCGGGGGTGGGGATCCCCCTCCAGGCACAGCCTGGGATGTGCCCTGCTGTGACCACAGCTACCAGGGCCCTGCAGTGGAGGTGAGGGAGGAAGTGGGGTATTGGGTTAGGGTCTCTCGGTCCTTAGATGGAGCTAGCAGGATGGGAGAGGTGCTCAGCAGCCAGGGGACTGGCAGAGGTGCTGGGTTGGTCTGAAGAGGCCAAAGCATGTGGGTGCCTGGCTGGAGTCAGGGTCTCAGTGGTGGGTGTCATCTACTGAGACCCCATGCCCATCCAGGACCATCAGCACAAGAGCTAGCAGACAGCACGTGGTGTTAGGACCCCATCAACCACGTCGTTTTGAGGGCCACAAGACCCTCCCCCGAGGCTAACAGGTGGTCTAACTAAGCCAAAGGAGGGGGACTGGGTGCAGACAGAAGCAGAGGCCAGGTAAGTGCTGGAGTCTGGTGATCAGAAGCCGTGAGTTTCTGCTTCCTTCCCCAAGGGGGAGACTCACGAGTAAGTAAGGAAAAGAAGAACTGCGTCTCCTCTGCACTCTGTGGAGCGTGAGCGAGTTCTTGGCCAAGCTGCAGCAGCAGTGACCACCCGAAGGACACATGAACATGCTCCTGACCAGAAAAGGAGCAGGGCGCTCACACAGGAGGACAGCTAGATGGGCCTGGACCGACACAGCCCCTCTGTGCGAGGGCAGAGACCTCCTGCTGGCAGGAGCAGGCGGAGCAGCCCACCTCCCAGGGCAAAGGGCAGGAGGTGGCTGCTTCTCTGCAGGCTGGGAGGCAGCAGCCTTGGTGGGGGCTTCATTTCCCGCTGCTGTTGCATAAAATTTATACAAATGTCCTGTCTTGAAACAACACACATTTAGTCTTGTAGTTCTGGAGGGCCTAAGCCCCACATGGAGACTTCTCTGAGCTGAAAGGAAGGTATCATGGGGACCCCAGGTGACAATCAGACCCTGGCCTGCCAGCTTCCACAGGGCACTCCCTGGCTCACAGCCCTTCCTCTATCCCCAAAGCCAGAGGTGGGCTGAGTCTTCACACAGCAAATCTTACTGATCCTCCTCTCCTCTCTCTTTCACTTTGATGACACTGGGCCCACCCAGGAAATCCAGGACAGTCTCCACGTCCCGCTCTGCTGATCAGCGTCCTTAACTGCACCTGTGAGCTCCGCTCCCTCTGCAGAGAGCCCGACACCTCCCAGATTCCAGGCATTAGGACATGGGCATCTTTCTGGAGGTGGTGTTGCCAGCCCTGGGAGCACCCCGGAGCCC